TTTGTAATTAATATAGGTCTAGAGCAACTTGTGGAGAGATAGATTATGATAGGTATCGAAGGAGGAAATTTTTTTGCGACCTATGTGTCCTAAATTCCTACTTGTCTCTGTAACTTTGATAATTATTATTTATCTTTGTTACCATTTACTGGTATGTATCTAATGAGATACATCCAGGTAAATTTAATTTTCCACACGTGGCAAATGAGTCTTAAAGCTCACTGGGTCAGCTGGTTCTAATATATTTCATGCAGCTAGGTATATTTCTATACATTTTTATACCTAGCTGGATGAATCTTATTAGACGTGCTGGTCAAGTGGTTAACACACTGGCCTGCGAGTTTTAGGATTCACTCGCCATGGGTTCATATATCATCCGTTCCCTGATTTGTTTGCAATCGTGTTATTACGATTTCGTGAACCAAGATAAAATTTATCACCTCTAAGCAAGGAACCATGTACACACCACCGTCTGACACCGTAGATGAATTCCTTATTGCTCTATGACTCACAGTGATATGGCTCCTTAATACAACTCGTATATTAGTTTTTTCATTGCTCTGGGTTCAACATAAAGGTTTTCTTAGCACTGGCTTGCTCGGTTCTGTTCTATAAAATGTTTTTTTTATTTTTTGTCACTGTCAAGGCTGTATGAGATCCTGTAGGTATTTAGTTTAGTAGCAACAACAAAGATTTTGTTATATACGTCACTGACATCTCAAGACCATATATTCTCAAACAACATTGTTAAATAATACTTATCTTAGTCTTACTCTCACGAGAAATAATGTATATACGAACACGTTTTTAGTCTTCATATAAATATAAAATTTAAATTTCTTATAAATGTTAAATATAAATTTCCTATGATTCCTGCGAATAAACGCATCTAAATAATGGCGAGGGGACCAAAATATGCAATTTAGGTAAGAAAACTTTAACGTTCTCATTACGTGGACACAAACGCAACATCATTCACTTATCTGTAATATTTGGCTTTGCTAAGCAAAATGTCCTTCAAAGCTTTTTGCTTCTAAAACCTTCATATTTTAAACTACCTAACAGAGAAATAAGCAGAATTTTCATTACTTTCCATACTTTTAAGCGTAAAATCTGCCAAAAAACACAAACTTACAATCTCTCTTATACAGTTTGACCAACTGATCATTTTAGTATAAAGTGGTATATCATGTTAATTAAGTTATCCATTCAGAAAGTCAAGCTTTCTTTAAAAGCCTACACGTTATTAAAGAAAGTTTTCTTCTTTCTCGACTCACGATGCCTCGGTGGGAGACGACCGGTTTGTTTAAAAAAACGTCACAATAGAGCTAACTCGCTGGAAATATTCTATCAAATCTAATGCAAAAAGTTACTTAGTTAAATCTGTTTTATTTCTATATGTGAATCTGACATTGTCCATTTTGCCAACTTTTGTGTAAATGAATAACTCACTTAAAATAATAAACGAAGTACAGTGGACTCCCGCTTAACGATCACCTCCAAATGCGACCAATTATGTAAGTGTATTTATGTAAGTGCTTTTGTACGTGTATGTTTGGGGGTCTGAAATGGACTAATCTACTTCACAATATTCCTTATGGGAAAAAATTCGGTCAGTACTGGCACCTGAATGGAATGAAAAAAGTTCGTTAACCGGGGGTCCACATATTATACAATGATTATAAAAGTTAAGCAGATGTTATAGGTACATTAAAGTATGTTATTATAGTATAATACAAGATAATTGAACCTACCATAATCTAAGTCAAGCAATGTGAATACACTTACCTTAAATTTTGGTTGTTGTTTATGTAGCTTGACGTGAGTGGAGAAGCGTGGTGTGGCTCCACTGGGCGTCAGATGACGTGGATGAAGGACGAATGATGGGCTGTAGAAAGGTGCTGTAGTGAGGGGCTGTAGTGAGGTGCTGTAGTGAGGTGCTGTAGTGAGGGGCTGTAGTGAGGTGCTGTAGTGAGGGGCTGTAGTGAGGTGCTGTAGTGAGGGGTTGTAGTGAGGTGCTGTAGTGAGGGGCTGTAGTGAGGTGCTGTAGTGAGGGGCTGTAGTGAGGTGCTGTAGTGAGGGGCTGTAGTGAGGTGCTGTAGTGAGGTGCTGTAGTGAGGGGCTGTAGTGAGGGGCTGTAGTGAGGTGCTGTAGTGAGGGGCTGTAATGAGGTGCTGTAGTGATGTGCTGTAGTGAGGGGCTGTAGTGAGGGGCTGTAGTGAGGGGCTGTAGTGAGGGGCTGTAGTGAGGGGCTGTAGTGAGGTGCTGTAGCGAGGGGCTGTAGTGAGGTGCTGTAGTGAGGGGCTGTAGTGAGGGGATGTAGTGAGGTGCTGTAGTGAGGTGCTGTAGTGAGGTGCTGTAGTGAGGGGCTGTAGTGAGTGCTGTAGTGAGGGGCTGTAATGAGGTGCTGTAGTGATGTGCTGTAGTGAGGGGCTGTAGTGAGGGGCTGTAGTGAGGGGCTGTAGTGAGGGGCTGTAGTGAGGGGCTGTAGTGAGGTGCTGTAGCGAGGGGCTGTAGTGAGGTGCTGTAGTGAGGGGCTGTAGTGAGGGGATGTAGTGAGGTGCTGTAGTGAGGTGCTGTAGTGAGGTGCTGTAGTGAGGGGCTGTAGTGAGGTGCTGTAGTGAGGGGCTGTAGTGAGGGGCTGTAGTGAGGTGCTGTAGCGAGGGGCTGTAGTGAGGTGCTGTAGTGAGGTGCTGTAGTGAGGGGCTGTAGTGAGGTGCTGTAGTGAGGGGCTGTAGTGAGAGGCTGTAGTGAGGTGCTGTAGTGAGGTGCTGTAGTGAGGTGCTGTAGTGAGGTGCTGTAGTGAGGTGCTGTAGTGAGGTGCTGTAGAGAGGTGCTGTAGTGAGAGGCTGTAGTGAGGTGCTGTAGTGAGAGGCTGTAGTGAGGTGCTGTAGTGAGGTGCTGTAGTGAGAGGCTGTAGTGAGGTGCTGTAGTGAGGGGCTGTAGTGAGGGGCTGTAGTGAGGTGCTGTAGTGAGAGGCTGTAGTGAGGTGCTGTAGTGAGGGGCTGTAGTGAGGGGCTGTAGTGAGGTGCTGTAGTGAGAGGCTGTAGTGAGGTGCTGTAGTGAGAGGCTGTAGTGAGGTGCTGTAGTGAGAGGCTGTAGTGAGGTGCTGTAGTGAGAGGCTGTAGTGAGGTGCTGTAGTGAGGGGCTGTAGTGAGGTGCTGTAGTGAGAGGCTGTAGTGAGGTGCTGTAGTGAGAGGCTGTAGTGAGGTGCTGTAGTGAGGTGCTGTAGTGAGGTGCTGTAGTGAGAGGCTGTAGTGATGTGCTGTAGTGAGAGGCTGTAGTGAGGTGCTGTAGTGAGGTGCTGTAGTGAGGGGCTGTAGTGAGAGGCTGTAGTGAGGTGCTGTAGTGAGAGGCTGTAGTGAGGTGCTGTAGTGAGGTGCTGTAGTGAGGTGCTGTAGTGAGGGGCTGTAGTGAGGTGCTGTAGTGAGGGGGGCTGGAGTTTGCAAATGATCTAAAATACTAAAAAATTAATTGACTACTCTTTAAATTTGCCGGAAACACATTTTCCAATTCAAAAAATGAGAAAGCAGTGTATTCAACCAAGAACATGTTGGTTCTGCCTTACCACGAGAACATTCTTGATACTCCATCTCCACTTAAGAATTTTAATATCATAGTCGTATTTAAAAATTTTGATACAGTAAAAAAAAAAAGAAATGATTAAGTATATTAATCGATACTGAGACGACTGGTAGACAATATTTGGGAATATATGAAGAGATACTTCTGAGTACCCCAGACAAGGACATTTAAACGGACATAAAAAGCACTTTCATTTTTCTTTTATTAATTAAAAAGGCTACACAGAATAACAGCAATCCATATGTATAGTAGCCACTGAGAAACATTTTCTTAAGTCACATGACCTGTTTTAAGCAGCTAGAAAAAGGTTCTATCTTCTAATTTCATATTCCTTGACTTCTCAAAACCCGGGGGCCCTCTCCTACCCTACATGGGGGGAGGGGAGGAACGGGGATGGTGGTGGTGCGGGTGGCACCGTTGGCTCACATTCTAAGAGAGGCTGTGGCAAGTGTCAAACCTGCACTGTGCTACTCTGAGGAAACTTCGCCTCCCTCCTTTAGTTGTTGCCTGTGTGATTGTTTACATATATATTATATATATATATATATATATATAATATATATATATTATATATATATATATATATATATATAATTATATATATATAAGGAAGTACCATCTCTATGGCTGGACTGGGGACCCTCATCCTCAGAGAAGACAATAAACGTACCTCAGGGAAAACTCAAGGTTCTCCCCGGAACTTTTTGAATATTTTCTTCTTCTCACCAAGGCAGGGCTGCCCATAAAAAGAAAAAAATCATCATTCACTCCAACACTGTCTTGCCAGAGGCATGCCTGCATTACAGTTATAAAAGTGAAACATTAACACCCCTCCTTCAGAGTGCCGGCACTATACTTCCCATCTCCTGGAATCAAGTCCGGCCTGCCAGTTTCCCTTCATAAATGTTACCATGCTTACACTCCAACAGCATGTCAATTCCTAAAAACCACTTGTCTCTGTTTGCTCTTAACATGCTCATGAACGATTGCTAGAAGTCCAAGCCCCTCGCACAAAAAACCTCCTTTACCCCTTCCCTACAACATTTCCTAGACCAGAGTCTACCCCGTCTTCCCTCCACTACAGATTTAAACACTCTCGAAGTTATTCTATTTCTTTCCATCCTCTCTACATACTCCAAACCATCTCAATAACCCTTCCTCAGCCCTCTGGATAATAGTTTTGGTAATCCCACACCTCCTCCTAATCTCCAAGCTACAGATACTCTGCATTATATTCACAACACACATTGCCCTCAGATATGATATCTCCACTGCCTCCAGCCTTCTCCTTGTTGCAACATTCACAACCCATGCTTCACACCCATGTAAGAGCATTGGTATAACTATACTCTTATACATTCCCCTCTTTGCTTTCACGGATAACCTATAATAGTTGTGTGTGTGTGTGGTAATAGGTATTGGTGGTGGGGGTAGTTGTATGGTTGGTGCTGGGATCAACAGGATCTCATCCCAGCAGCTACCCGAACAGCGAGCTCGAGTTAGAGCCCAGGCGGCGGCTCTGTGGGTGGAGGTTGGCTAACAAGCTGAACAGTGTGTGCAAGGGCGTCTACAACAAACCCCAATATGCAGACAACCTTCTATACTACAGAGGCAGGCGAGGTGAGTCCAGCGGCCCTTGTCCCCTCCAAAAGTGCTCCAGTGTAGAAGAGTAAAATTCCTAATACCTTGCATAAAACAATTAACAACCCACAAACTAGAGAAAAACCTTAGCAGAATTACATATTCATTTTTGGAGAGCTATTATCTCGTGAAATAATAATGCGATATCGAGGACTGCCGAAACGCCTTGTAAGTTTTATCTCAACTTTATGGTTTGTTCAATGTTAAGAATGAAGATTATAATAATTCTCTCTCAACCTGAAAGCAGAATTTTAACATTTTATTTTGCATGCTGGTGTGCTACTCTGCCATGTGCACTAATACAGTCTTGTGTATCCACCAGTTGGCGGGAAGACTGGGTTGCAGCAGCAGCCTGAGGCGTTGAAGGAATTGTTTTCTGACGATGTAATTGTGATGGCGTCGCGGGGTCACTCAACGTCAACACCACCTGTCCTTCCCATTGTCTCCACGGACACTGCTGAACAAGACAACAGGGAACTCGAGGATCTCCTCAACATGCAACTTTCCCAGGATCCTTCTCAGTCTGCATCTCGCGAGAACGAAGACTCTAAGACCCACCTTCCATTCCTTACAAAGATGGAAGCCTTGCAGATGGTGAGGAATCGGCCACGCCCCAAGAGAGGTCTTTCGGCGGAGTGTTGTCAGAAAGTGTGTACCGTTTCAGAGCTAGTCGGATACTGCTACTGATTACACTGGTCAACAATTTTTGAAAAGTTGTATGCTTCTTAAATGAGATTAGTTAATTCTTACGTATTTTCATGTCTGGAATCCATGCTTATTGGCTATAGGTTTAAAGATATGAGACACATAATATTTGATTATTTTATTACAACGTACGATATGTCATTATGTTTTAAACTCTAATCCGTACCTACTCTCTGCCTTTTTGCTTGACGCTTATAGTGGACTGAAGAATCATCTCTTGCCAATGTCCAGCAATAGTCTGCAAGCATTATTGTGACCCATTTGCCCTGGTACCATTTTTCCATGGTTGAAATATCTTGGTGAAACCTTTCTCCATATTCGTCACTAACTGCCCCATCAAGACTTAAAAGAACATGGGATGTAACATGTCACTTAAAATCCACTTTTTGGACTCACATTTAGACTTTTTTCCAGCTGTCTACCTGGAGGGCATAACCCCCGGAGGGCATTCTGGAGAGAATGCCCTCCAGGTAGACAGCTCGCTGGAAAAAAGCCTAAATGCGAGTCCAAAAAGTGGATTTTAAGTGACATGTTACATCCCATGTTCTTGTAAGTCTTGATGAGGTTTTCCATCAATTCTTCATAGTTGCCATCCCTTCTGTTTCCGATAAATCTCTTCGACACTAACTTGAATGCTTCCCAGGACCATTGAAGACTCCCTCTCTTATCGTAGTGTCGTTCAGTGAGGGGAATTTTGATAGTAAATACTTGAATCCCTGACCGGATTTGTCCATAGCTTTCGCAAAGTTTTTCATGAGCACCAGTTTTGTGTAGTGGTGGTAGTAAAATTTTGTTTGGTTCAGTGAGAGGTGAATGTTGAACATTTTTCACCCCAGGCTCCAATGACTGACGAGGTGGCCAGTCTCTCCTGATGTAGTGGGAACCTCTTGCACGGCTGTCCCATTCACATAGAAAGCAGCAGTACTTAGTGCATCCACCCAGCATGCCCATCACAAGAGCAACAACCTTTAAGTCACCACAGAGCTATCATTGATGTTCATCATATTCCATGCATTGCAACATATGCTTTATATTCTCATTAGTTTCTTTCATATGTGGTGCTTAACCCTTAGGAACTGATGGTTTACCATTGCCGTTTTGCAGCAAGACAACTTTCAAGACTCGTTTTTGATGAATTTATGAACAGTCTCCAGTGTGTTTGGCTAAGAAAATCACCTACCTTTCACCTCAAAATATAAACTTTCACAGCACAACCACCTTCTATGACTGCTGGAACAATAATGAAGGCCAGTCAGACTGTGAGTGTGGTAAGAAACACACTGCCACAAGCCTTTTGGAACCTGTTGTCACACGTAGCTGTATATTGAAAAGTAGAGATAACAAACAATTTTAACCATGATATTTATTATCAGTGACCTAAAATTAGTTGGAAATTGCTACTCTGATCTAGGAATCATTTTGGTTGTTGACCAGTGTTATACTAGGGTAGAGCCTATCATGTATGACTCGCGAATAACAGTAGGAAGATTGAGCCTCCATCAATCCGCATGCTGAATAACCTCAAACAGTAAATACAGTAATGCTACTTAGATTACAAAAATGCAGATTCTCATCAGAAAGATCCCAAAACTGTTTTTATGTTTTCACAAAATAAAGAAAACTTGTTCAGATCACATCCCGACAAGATAAACTTAAGTAATCAGTCCCCGAATAAGATTTTTACATGAAAGGAAAAACATTCATAGAACTTTAAAACATCCATGAAAAATTGACTCTGTGTAGAATCATGTGCGATGCGCTAAATGGAGATTAAGCATCAGATGATCCAAAGATACCAAGAACAGTATAAAAACTTCTATGAATAATAAAGAAAGTTATATATGTTCATTGTTTTCCTAACCTCCAGTTTGTTACCTCGATCAAGGAATTTTAATATTTAACGGGGCTGGACTGGTAAGCCAGCGGAAGGCCTCGGTCAGATGACCAAATGTTCTATTGGCAGTTCATCATATGACCAAAACCCGCGTCAGGAAACGCTTGTCCTGCATCCTGACGAATGTTGCCTCACCTCGTGCAATGCATAATACATTTTTGAACTTCCTGAGTGACAGGATCCACAATCATTTACTCGATCTGTCGACAGAACGAATACCAAGAGTAAAACATCTGTGAAAGCTTCCAGTATACGTGGGTAATATTTTGGATCCAGTTATGATGGTGAAACTATTTTTGAAAATTATGATGACAGTTGTGATGGTGATGATGATGATAATATTGGCGATGATGATAACGGTGATGATTGTGTCATTAACCCTCCCCTCAAACATCTCCTTGCCAACCTCAACAGAACACATGACCATAACACAAGGCACAGATCACTCTTTGATGTTCCTCGTGTCCATCTCACGCTATGCAAAAACTCAATGCACATAAAAGGCCCTAAAATCTGGAATTCATTACCTGTGAATATAAAAGAAACACTGTCTGTTTATAAATTCAAGTCTCTTCTCAAAAATCACCCACAACTAAATAAATACTGAATAATTGTATCTCATAAATTGTATCACATATATGTATCTCATTATTGTATCTCATAAATGTCAACCTGTGACCCAATCAAACTTTGTTTCTACTTAACTTCATTACCTAACAGAATACTCCATTCTAGTGATTACACAGCAAACCAGTACTGACCTTATGACCTTGTCTTTTTAATACTCATTGACTAAAATTGTTTATCTGTTTTACAATAATTTTTGCACCACTGAATATATCAATGCTTATGTTAATCTAATAATTTTAAGCCCTGCCCGTACTGCTGTCATTCAAGTGGCTTTGCATGCTGCATTTAACTGTATTCTTTTGTACTTCTCTGTATCATGTTCAAATTAATAAATAACTAAATAAATAAATAAATAAATAATAATAATAGTGGTTATGCTGCAGTTTCTTATCTAGTTTTCGACATTGCTTTCTAATACTTTAATTCAAATAACAAGAAATAACAAAAGAAAATTTGCTATATAGTAACAAACTTCTTTACGAATGCCAGTGATACTTGAGTCCTGGAGATAGGAAGTACATTGCCTGCATTCTCAAGGATGGGTGAGCATATTTAGTTTTGAATTGTGATATCGGCGCTCCTCTGGCAAGACAGTAATGGAGAGAGTGATGGTGAACCAGAGATTGGTCCAGGGGCGATGTAGTGTTGGAAAGGGGAGCTCTGTTTGCAAGAATGATATCAGGTTTGCCTTGGAGATTACAGGTGTTGGAATGAGGACCTAGATGATGCAAGTGTTTGTGGGTTATATATTTGAGTAAATGTATGCTTAGCTGGTTGTTGGTAGAATGGTGAAAGGCCTGGTGTCTAGCATTTATGTCTGCTAAGAGGTAGGTGGGAGTGTTGGTGTGGTTGAAGACTAAAGAAAGGTCGTGTATGTTGAGAGCAGAGTTGGGTGAAAAAGATGAATGGGCCCAGGTGAGTGTGTATTCTAACTGCGAGGAAGTGGTGATGGGTGAATGAAGTGGGAGAAATTCGTGTTTGATATTGGAGTTAAGAAGAATGGCAACTCCATCATGGGGGTCGTAGGGAGATTGTTGTGAGGTGTATCCAGAGTGAACTCTTTGGGATACTTAGAGGTAGGTGCTGTTGAGCAAGACAACATCTGTATTAATATTGGTAGACTAACCTACAATATGTTAAGTAAAAAGTCACAAATGCAAGTAATGTGACATTTTATTGCGGCAACGTTTCGCCCTTCAGGAGCTTTATCAAGCCGTTACAAACAATACACGGACACAGAGAGTATATATAGGGTCAGAGTGAGGTGTAATACCAGTGGTAGTAATAGTAGTAGTAGTAATATTAGTTATAGTAGTAGTAGTAATACAATATGGTAGAACAATTAACTTGCACATGAGTAAAAGGATATAAAGCTATTACTTGGGTAACATAAAAATAGGTTACACAAAATTTCAGTTGGTGGTTGGATTTAAGGTCTGTTTCAGTGTTCCTCCTCTGTTATGTGCTTGTGTAGTATTAACAGGAGAGACTATGTGATGGCAGGGTTTACTGTTTTTAGGAGGACTCTCGCTAAGACTTCAGAGATAATGGAGCTGCCTTTGTTTTGTTTAATTGTTAGAAACAGCGATTAATGCTGATTCAAGGCACTTGCGTCTGCGGAAATTAGTTACTTTGATCACTAATCGGGCGTCCCTGAATTTCATGAGATGATTGGAGGAATTTCGGTGTAGTACGCAGGCGTTATTCAGTGTATGTAGGAACGATAGATCCTACATGCATTGTGTTCACTGAGGCATGTTTCGAGGTTCCTTGCTGTTTCACCTACATAAATCATGTCAGCCTCCACAGACTGGTTCATGGTGCTTCGAATTTGTCCTGGTGAGATCCTATACTGAAGTGTTAGCTTGTGCTAGTAATTTAGAAACGTTCAATGCAACCTGGCTGTTGGGAAGAATTATAGCTTTGTAGATGAATGGTTCAGAAAACTGACAAGTTGATAAATTAGACACGTGTGCAGCATTTGGGCATCTTTAATGAGGAAACGTTTCGCTACACAGTGGCTTCATCAGTCCATACAAAGGAGTGTGGTGAAGAACAGGAGGAGTTTGAGGTAATCAGTCCCTCAGCCTTGAGTCGATGTGATCAGTCCATCAATCTTGAAAGGAATACAGCATATGTGCAAAGTAGTGGCTTATGTACTGTAGGCAGGAGAGGTGCAGCATTCGTATGTGGTATCATTCATCAAATGCGATACCACCTACGTTTGCGAGTTATTACGAGGACGTCGTCCACGTAACGTAACCAAGGGACGCTCGAGGGGATGATGTTGGGGAAGTGTTCAGCCTCTAGGTGTTCCAGGTATAAGTTGGCTAAGACGGCTCTGATGGGGAACCCCATTCCTATGCCATAGGTTTGTTTGTAGAGCCTGTTATTGAAATAAAAGTACAGTAGTTGAAATTAACGCAGAGTTCGATGAGGTCAACAAAATCACAGGGAGATAGAGGAAGATTAAGGTCCTGAGTGATTTTACGTCGTAGAACGTCAGTGGCTTGTGTGATGGGTACTCAGTGAATTCAAATTCAAATTCAAAGTTTATTCTCTATAAAGATTACAATGTTGAATTTACAGAATTTGGTTGTTGTGTGGTTTACATGTAGTTAAATAATGATTACAGAGTGTACCACTAGAACGCCTAGCATGGCTAGGCATTTCGGGCAGACTTAGTTTAATTCTTTATTTTAAAATATTACAAATTATGAGGTAAGTTGGTATTATGGCTAAGTGGCTAAATACTAGTTTGTGAGTTTAGCAATGTGAATGCTTTTGTTTTGGCACAGTACATAGTTTCAGTATTGGAGTATCATAGGATTCATTATTTTAAGATTGAGATTAATATTTCTGATAATGGTCAAATGGGTGAGTCAGTGTAAGTGTGAACCACCAGGTGGTATTCGTGTAGTTAGTTGATGGGGTGTATCAGGGAAATAAGATGTTTTCTAATGGTAGTTTTGAAGGTGATGAATGTGTCTGCAGTTCTAGAGTTCTCAGGTAGGGTGTTCCAGAATTTAGGGCCTTTGAGATACATTGATTTTTTGTAAAGGTTTAGTCGGACACGGGGAATGTCGCAGAGATGTTTGTGTCTGGTGTTATGCCTGTGGGTTCTGTCACAACTATCAAGAAAGCGTTTTAGGTCAAGGTTGATATTGGAGTTTAAGGTCCTGTAGATGTAGATTGCACAGTAGTAAGTGTGGATGTACTGAACAGGGAGTAAATTTAGATCTATGAAGAGTGGGGGGGGGGTTTTGCCAGGGATGGGATTTAGTGATTATTCTTACTGCAGCTTTTTGTTGGGTTATTATTGGCTTTAGGTGTGTTGCTGCAGTTGATCCCCAAGCACAAATAGCATAGGTGAGGTATGGATAAATAAGTGAGTGGTATTAATGTGAGAGGCATTTGCGGCACGTAGAAACGTATTTGGGGAAAATCCCAACGTTTTGGTCTTTTTTGGTTATTTTAAAGGGGTTTAAAAAATTT